ACTCGAAATTTTACGATCAACGAAGTTTTATCCTTGTCCTCGGAAAAAGCAAAACGACTCGTCAGCCAATGCTCGGTTTTTTCTTAACTCGAAGCTATCCGGAGCGGGATAAAGGAGGAACGTGAATATATAACATATGAGAAATTGAATTGAAAATTTTATAGGACTAACACAAGAAATGCTGTTAGATTCAATAAAAATAATTCTGGCGGAAAACTATCTCTGGTTATATTTTGAGTATAACTTACATTGATACGAAGAAGATATAAAACAAAAGTTGTATTGAAGAACATAAGAGGACGAGAAAGAAAGCTAGAGAAAGAGAAGGGATATACGAGGAGAAATAGCCGGCGCAATCACGTACGGGGTTCGAAAGGTCAAGATCAAGTTGCCGAGGGAGATGTGATCTAGAATCGCAGATACAGAGAGAAAGGGGGTGCTACGAGCGTGGGAGAGAGCAGAAGAATAATGCTCTTCTGTGCCATCGACTTTAAAAATAAGGTGGCAATCGGCCAGTGTTTCTGTTTGAGTATACGCCAATTTTTTTTTGTCAATTTGTGATTTTTTCCTCGCTTCATACATGTAATACGCAATGCTACGGAGTTAACTTAATGTGGCAGGACCAGGGGATGTTTCACACAATGACGCGTGAATTTTCAGTCTCGGATTCTTTTTACAGAAGCATAGGAAACGGATAAAGTAACACATTCCCAATACCGAAGAGGACATGCATTTACCTCTAAATCCCTCGGGCATACGATCGAGTTGGTCTCAGGATTTGCTACTCCGAATTGAGGGAGTCTAATGAAGGCACGTGCGGACTCGCCTTTGTCGTTCACTAAGGATTTCGACACAACTAGAAATAGCTTAATTAAGCGAAACCAGCATTACACAGCTGTCCGTATGTATCTACACGTGCCGGTGAATACCCATGTGAGTGTAGACTCAACTATACCGGGTGTCCCACACAATGTACATATATCAAAACTTTTACTCTGCAATTTTTGTACGTTAATTTGACCGACACTTTTTGATATAACATTTCTAAATATAATTATACCTTAGTATTTGATATAACCCCTACAGCACAAAGTTGCACAAAAGTTGCAGCCACACTGCTGCAACATTACATGTTACATTACAACAATATTGCAGATTTTGCAGCGATATTGCTGTAAATTCTGTGCTGTATAGGAATATTTCTGAAATTTATATGAAATATTTTTAACATATAATAATGTTACGGTTAATAAAATGATTCGAGAGAGATTTTACAATTCTCTCTACATTTTTACAAATTTGTTTTAAAAATGTCATTTGTTTCGTATAAAAAGTTGAATCGTATGTTTGTAAAAGATATTTGCGTACGTAACATTAATGATTATCAGATGGCGTTAGCTTTATGAGAACTCTGTTGAAACTAAAATTACGATTTTTTACATACGATAATCTGTTTTAGTTAGTACATTTTCTTCTGCAGTATTAAAATTACTGAGATACTACTATTGTATTATACATAACCGATTAAAGATTGACCTACAAAAATGTATTCAGAAATAATCATTTTGTCATAAATGTAAATATTTATCTCGCGTTGAGTTTGGTACGATTGAAATTATAATCCTGCGCGATTGATTGAGAGGGTCAAAGATGAGAAACGCGAAAAGATCTTCCGCGAAAAGGAGCTTGTGGAGATCTAAGGCAAAGCTCAACTTTAAATGGAATCCCGTTTTGGGAAGCTGCATACAGTTTAATTAAGCCAGACCCATTTCGCTTGTGTCTACAAACGGTATTTTGCAGTAATGCCTCTAGTTGCTTCTCTTTCTTCCTCTCGTTCTCTATTCGACCTCTCTATAGAGCGAGCGCCAGTTGAAGGAAGTCCAAGTTCGCCTAAGTCTCGACTCTCGAGTGTCTGTCCTAATGAATTGCTAAACTATCCTGAATCCCCCCCCCCCCTCAAACGAAAGCTCGATTTCCCTGAATGGTCGACCTTTCCTTCGGGCTTAATGCCCGATTAATCAAGGATACTAATTTTATCAAAAATTTGAGAATGTTGGATTTGAGAAAATTCCATCGTTTAATAGTAATTTAGTAAAAAAACCGATTGGACTTAATTGATTGATATTTAAGCTATCGAAACTAGGAGTTAAAAATTTGTTGGTATTTATTTGCTCCTGGAGTAATGAATAATGATTAATAGAGCACAATTGTTTTTATATGTATATTGTATATTTTATCATTTGTTTATATAGCTTTGCGCGTTGAAAATATTTTTAGTTACTTTTCATTTTATTTTGTGAGCAAATCTGCGCTTGTATTTTAAAAGTAATAAATTTTAATTATTCCCTTCCCCCAATATATCCAAAACATTTCGATATCTCTTTGCAGAATCTTATTGCTAGATCGGAGTAACTTTTAACTCTTTATCTTTTTTTGTTTGGGATCAATGCTATATTTTAATAGAATATAAGTGACAAGTTATTCTTAATTTAGATAGATTTAAAACTAATTGTCTACGAGTATTATAGAAGTAATAAATACGCGATGCTTAATAGCTAGATTATATTATAAAACTAAAAATTAATTAATACATAATTATGCACGACAAATAAAAGAACAACTTGATTTTTTAGAATTAGAACACTAGATTAATAAAAATTAGTAAGTTATACAGAATTTTTATTGTTGGAATAAATATTATAGATATACCTATGTTCACGATTTAATGTAGCAATAAATCGTATTATGTGGATATAAATAATGTAATTGGAATCAACACGGTAGCATAATTATAAACTAGAGAAATTTTAGCATTGATAATTAATTGTGTAATAGAGCAAGGTAAAGATAAAAATAGAATGGAAAGGAAAAGGAAAGAAGGAAAGAGAAAGAATAAAGACAGGGATGGGGATAAAAAGAGATAGAGGATGAAAGACGAATATGAAACAAGGGGGATAGTGATGCAGCAATGTAATGGGATGGATAGATAGACAGAAGAAAGAGGGTAGAGAGGGGGAAAGATATCGGAGCGGGAGGAGAAGTAAAGTTACGAGGCTGTTTACAGGCGGCTGTTAAAGCGATCTAACTCATGGCCGGCCATTGCTCCCGCCAGGCTTGGCTACGTAACGCAACGTTGTTCGCGCTTTATACAAGTCGCCTCAAGCGCAGCTAGTTCCATTTTGCGGCTAAATCGAGTAAATTGTTTAAATTTCAGTATATCTTGAAATCCTCGATTAAAAGGAAAAGATATCAGATGTCTCGAAATCGTGAAATAGAAAATGAGACAAACAGAGAAGCAAATTGCTCGTTTTCCGCTCGGCGACTTTGCGGGCGAATTATCGACTAATATTCGACTGTTGCCGCTCGTTGCGTCTCCAAAGCATTCTCCCTTTGAGGGCAATCTTCCGCGTAAGTACCCCGATCCGCGGGTTCTGCCGTAACCGCGTCTTTGCCGAACTACCCCGACGACTCCGACGCGCGGGAATTCCGCGCCAAGTATTTATTCATCAGGGTAACCCCTACTGGTAAAGGAATTTCATAATGCCGCTGTCACACGCTGCCATTGATTGAAGGATCGCTTCTCTACGCCTCTCCTCCGTTGCCCTTTCCCTGTCATGACAAAAATATTGCTGCTGATCGAAAATGGCAGGAACCATGCAGTGCTCTTGGAAAACGCGATTTTTACAGGAAGATACTCTTTCACGATATTTTAATTCTCTGCAATGATATTCGAGTTTCCTCAATAAAGATGCAAAATAAAACAAAAAAACATCGAAGATTTATTTATTTCAAATTTTTATTTTAATTAAAGAATATGTAATGTTGTTGATTTAAAAGCATTAAATGATGATTATCCTTAATAGTTTCATCGAAGGAAAATTATATCTTAAAGAAGATAATGAAAGCATAATCAGTATTACAGATATATCTTGTACATACATACGTCGCGTACATGCCCAGAGACATAGATGCAAGATTATGTAGATAGAAACGCGTCTATGGCTACGTTTACATCGTGCATTTAGGCCGCGGCCTATACGATAGATGTCTTTGTTTATCCTGTATATTAAACAGAGACACCTATCGTATTGGTCGCGGACTAAACGCACGGTGTAAACGTAGCCTATTTACGGCTAAAACACGTCCACTCCGCAACTCGTGGGGCATAATACCGTTTGATGACGTCATTAAGCTAGAGCGGGCTTATTGTTTCTCGTAAAATGTACGTGCAAACGCGTCATCCTGTTTCTAGATGGGTTTAAGCTCTATTCACATATATCATATTAAAAAAATTCTATATAATTATAAGAAAAATTCTTTTCCGACGAAATGTCCAGTGGCGAAAAAAGAGATTGAAATTTAACAATTTAATTTCGAAAGCGACAAATTTCCTTTTTCATTATTTTCGAAATTTCTTTTTATCCACTTCTCTTGTTTTAACATTTCGTTTTTGTGTGAATTCACCTTAATTCGAAATTTCCGTGGTCTCATTCTTCCATTATCGTCGGAGTCTTTATTTTCCAGGATGGCGACTATAAAGCAGTCGTAAACTTATAATTAAATGCTGCTAATGGTACATGTTCGGTACATGCGATATGCACGTATCCTCGGGATAGTGCGTGTCGCCGAAAATGGATGTCTTCACAAGCCAACTTTTCCACGATAATTCAAATGTCATTTTAACAAAAAGATTTTTACGTTTTGTATCGTGATAATTGCCTGAGGCTAATAGAATGGTACATAAAAGTGCAATTCAATTATTTATAATAAGAATAATTTAATATAGAAAAAGAATCTGGTTGTATTAATAAAAATTCTGATGGAAATGATCCGAATAAATCAGAATTTTCTGATTGAATCTGTTCTAGTTGAGATAATGAGAATTCTGATTGATATGATCAGAATCTTCTAGTTTTCAACCAGAAATTTTTCACAGTGTAATACGCAGAAAAGCAAAAGATGTTACAGTTGGTTACGGTAGTATTTTTTTTCTATTACAGGAGAGCTCACCTTAGGACTTGTCTCGAGAAGCTGAAGCTGCTAGTGCCACTTGGGCCTGAAACCTCGAGGCACACCACGTTGGGCCTTTTGACCAAGGCCAAGCGGTTTATCAAGGTGAGTAAAATTCAATCAGTCAAATTGCTAAAATTGATATACAGGGTGTTTGTAAATTTTCGAAACACCCATCATGAGCAGGTAGAACGGACCAAACTGAGTCGAAAAGTCTCGTACCATTTTGCAGTTTGCGCAATAGTTAACGAGATATTAATGTTTAAAGATAGCCGAATAAGCGCGTTCGCCCAGCCTACTATACTGCTGCCGAATGTACGACCCACCGTCCCCACCGATCTCACGGCGCGCGGGCCGCTGGGAGTGGGGATGGCCTGGTTCGCTATATAGGGGTTGCGCAAAAATTGAAATGCGCTGTATCTTCGAACCCTTTGAGACCCGTGTGAAGTTGGACCCCAACTTTTGAGAAAATTAATTTGTATAGCTCATTCGATTGCTCATCGTTTGCACATTTATGCACATTTTGAATTTTCGTTTGCACACCTTTAGTTTAAAAGTTATTTAACAAACAATTTTGGGGGAGCTAACTTCAAACTAGCCTCCCAACATCGAGCAAATGGGTTCGAAAAGATCTTAATCAATAGGATTTCGTTTGCACATCTCGAAACAAGTCGATTTTGTCCTGTTGTTAACGTGGTAAGTATGTCTTTATTAATGCACCGCCGACAAGTTTTGTTGGCATTTTGAACTTTCTCGTCGAGAGCTCTTCGTAAACCGTGCATACCATGCTCGTATATTGGTTGGGTATTTGTATCAACATTCTTCGTTTGTCCATTCGCACGTTGAGCATTTTAGTAACATCTTATAAGAGAATGTATTTTCCATCAAGTGTTGTTTGGCTATTAATTCACTTATGTTACATGCACAATCTGTTGTTGCAGACTTTGATCGGAAAATATTGTTCAAATTTAATTATTTCTATATGAAAACTTCAAAAAAGAGGTCATGAGTAATCAATACCCATAGAAGGCTACATTAATAGAATGCCTTGCTATTGTTTAAATTTGCATAACTCAAAACATATACAGTCAAATAAAATGTTAAATAGCAAATAACACACTCAAAAATACATATATTCGTATGATAATACGCTCAAATTTAAGAAAAATGAGGGGAAATAAGTGTAATTAAATGTTAAAATGTACCTCAGAAACGTTTCGAAATACTTGAAAGTAAAAATGCGTTATAACAAGTATATTGATTGTTGAGTATTGGTAATATTAGCGTCATGGTGTAACGGCGAGCTACCGAACTAATAATTCCATAAGTAATCATTAGGATTCGCTATGTAATAGCGGAGATATTAAGAGAGGCCACAATATATACACTGGCCATAATACTAGCTTTTCCTCTAATGATAGCTGATAAAACGAGCGTTGCATTTTCAACTAAAAGCGAACAATATTTTAATGAAATAAAAAATTTAATTTTTAAAGGAATGAAGAACATACGCTTAGATAAATTCTTGACATCACATATAAAATCGCTCGAAGGTACTATGTAGGTACTATGAAAATTTTAAATGCTGACAATATAACATCGAATGACACCGACAGATAGGGTTCTGAATGAGATAAAAATATCATGTACTCAAAATGAAGAACTATTAATGAAAACATCTCAGTCAGCTGTCTTAAATGAGATTGAGACATAGAGAGGCCACAAGATAAAAACTTAAAACGTAGCAAATACTTAACAATGTCCTGATGTAGACATCATTCACAACAGGCCTCAAATATGAGTGTTACATCAAAAATTTTTCTATTACAAGATATACGGCAATATTCTACGTCCACAAAATATTTCGGGTTAGAACTTTATGATGAAAAATGCATGTGTATGGCAGCTTTGGTCTCATTTCGATATCTTGTAAATTGGCTATATACAGGTTGCGCAAAAATTGAAAAACGCTGTATCTCCGAACCCTTTGAGGTACAAACGAAAATAAAAGAGATATAAACGGGTACAAATGACTCTCTTTCGAATGCCCTTGGTCCCGTTTCGATATCTTGTAAATTGGCTAAGTACGCTATATACAGGTTACGCAAAAATTGAAAAACGCTGTATCTCCGAACCCTTTGAGGTACAAACGAAAATAAAGGAGGTACAAACGGGTACAAACGATTCTCTTTCGAATGGCATAAATGAAATTAAAAAATCTTAAAGTTGCTTGCTGGCCATTTTTTTTCATTTTTTATTTAATTGTTTGAGATACAAACGAAATAATGATCGGTACAAACAGGTACAAACGAAGTACAAAGGCGCTGTAGTATTAATGTTTATTTTTGATAAAGTTGGGCGCCAGGTTCACATTGGTAGAGCAAGGTGTTGCAGCAAACAGAGTGGCGATGCACAATAGATGCGTAGTTAGTAAATTACAGACTGCCAGGGACAATGGCGTGCGTACCGAGTAAGCGTAAGCGCGGCGGACGCGTGTGTGCGTGTCAGAGTTTTCCACGCAGTCTACAGGGTGATGCGGATAGAAGCGCAGTGATTCGAACAAGTGACGAAGGCGCGTGTTCTTTGTTTCCTCGAGTAAATTGTTCTCGTAAAACGTGCTTAAAATATTCACCATTCTCGCGCGCGTGCATTATATTCCGGCTATGTATTCTCGAGGTGTACTCTTAAAGAGACTTTCTCGCCATTTACCTGATTTGTTTTGCTTCCTTCCTCGCGAGACGTAGTCTTCTCTTCAAATCTTTCCTTGGTATAATAAAAAAAATGTTATGGCGCCAAAGTGTCGTCTTTTAGATGCAATCTTTTTCTTCTGTTTCTAAAGTTTTTTTTAATGATGCTAAAAGAGATGCATATTAGCAAAATTATTAAATTGCTTGCCAATTTAATACGTGATATTATTATTCTAGTTCTCTCTGTTCATGATTACGTTTTAAGACTGAAAAAGATTTCGGCGCGCGGTTTGCAAAATTGAATATGTATATAAAATACTGTGTAAAATACTTAAACACTAAGATCTGCTTTGAAAATAGAATTATTTCTCTTAAACGCTACAAAAGAATCTCGGCAGCAAATGGATGTGTAAATTATTAAATGATATTCATAATAACACGATAAAACCTACAAGATTAGAAAATATAAATAGATAATCAAAAGTTATCGAAAAATGCAAAATACTGTTTCGTGATAAACGTGCGTAAAAAGTGCAGGCGTTTATTTTATCGATGTAATTTCTTCATTGTCTGTTACGACCTGAACGCTTGTACTCGAGGCACCCTATATAATGGCAAGCAGCAGTGCGTATCCACCGTTCATTCGTGTATGCATAGTCCGCGTGGGAGACTCAGCGTGTACATCAATCTGACCTGCGGGCACTTGTATATTATGTGCCTGCGTTAGGTAGGAAAAAAATGTTCGTTTTCGCCATTTGAGGAGGAAAGCTGCTACGCGTAATTTAAGAGAGCATCTGCAAACGCTATAAAGATCGTAATATCGGAAAATGATGAAGCATCGTAAAAGAGCGATTTTAACGTGATATATAACGTTTGATTGTTGCATTCACTTTATAAAAGTCGTTTTACATAACACAACTTTTTTTCCGGTACTTAATACTTCACATAGTAACTTCCTGATTGATTCGACAACGACAGTAGGGTGATTAATTATGGCAGAGTCATGAAATTCCGTAAAGCGAAAAATAAGGCGGAAGATAAAGGAATAAAGAGATTGAAAAGAAGATAGCTAGAAGTTAAGAAGATAGCGATAAGAGGAACTGAGAAAAACATGAAAGTGTCGTTTCTGTAGTGGCGATTTACACCCTCGCGGGGAAGTAAGACGTGAAGGAAAGGATGAGGTGGAGGGTTGAAGCGATTCGTATTTTGCGAGGTTGGCGACGTATAAGTCTTCATTTGTCCGCCTTTGAACTTCTTTTTTGTTTTGCCTGATGGTCTTCATGATTCTTTTCACACTTCGGTAGACGGTTTCGTCACTAATTATTCTATATTACGCTTTTCTTTTTCGCCTTATCCGTCTACATTTAGACTATGTGTATAATAATAAGTGGATATATAAAGAATAGAAAGAATGGCTTGAAACTTGTTTAGTTATGATCAAAAGTATGATGGAATATTGTAGCAATTTGTTAATTTTTACGCTTGATATAACTTTATTAATCGTAAGCAGATGTTTAAAATAAGTATTTTCTATTTTTGTGGAATGTAGAAAATTTATTGAGAATGATATTAAATTGAGAAAACTAGATTTTTACTTTATCATAAAACATTATTATAGATTTTCTTAAACGTATTTTTCAAGACTTCAAACTGTTTTTTTTTTAATGTCATTTTAATGTCATTTTCTTTAATGTCAATATTTTTTATCTATATAGTATATATTATCTAGATGTGTAGAAAAAGCCATTTTATGTTAAAGTTTTATGATGGAAATATGATCTCCATTAACATTAATATGTGACACAAAACGTTGCAACAATTTCGATGCCGATTATACGCATACTTATTACAATCAGCATCGACCGACACAATGTAAATGGTAAGAATGAACCGAGTCTCACTTCTGAGGTCGATTGGCCTTATGGCAGGATACGCTCCGCTTGACGTTTTTCTTAGCCTTGTTTTATCTCCGTTGTAAATTCATATCGAATAAAATGGAAAATACGAAACCAAGAAATTTTCTACGAGCGTGATGTCAGCCGTGCCATAAACACGCACACACAAACACATCGCCTGTGCTACCCTAATCTGTGATCAGGTGATTTCTTCGCCGAGCTACTTCCTTACCTCAGTGCCATCCATCCTATATTTAAAGTGGCGTTAAGTCTCAGCTATCTTACTGCCCCAAATTTTTTCACTACGGGAACATGTCGGCCCGTAACATGGTACATGGCACAAAAAAACTTAAGTAGTAAAAAGCAGCAATCGCAGTAGAGAACGTCAGCAGTAGCAAATCCAACATGTTAATTTCCTTATTGCTTACGTTTTACTTACTGCTTGAGTTTTTTTTGTGTGCCATAGCTCTAAAGGCCATGGCACACACCTTCCGTAACAGTAACCATAAGACATACCATAAGAATCAGCCAATTTAAATTAAGAGTTCAAAAGAATTCTTGACCGTGATTGGCTGATTCTTACGGTACGTCTTATGGTTACTGTTACGGAAGATGTGTACCATGGCCTTAACAATCGTGAGATCTGCTAATCTTTGTTCTCGTGTTAAAATTTTTTTAAGAATAATACACACACACACACACACACACACACACACACATATAAATCATAAATAAATTTTAAATCTGATATCTCTCGAGGTTTAAGGCATTATATGTAATCTGAAAACCTCGAGACATTATTTAAAATTTAGAAATAGTAAAAAATTAAAAATTTTTTAAACAGAATCGAAAAATTGGAATTTTTAAAAAGTGCCAGTTTAAATTTTATAAAACTTTCAAAATTTTCCATTCTAAACGTTTGTAATGAAAAAAATTCGCAGAGCCGACAAATCTACGCATGTCAAATACTACGCAGTGGAATACACATTTAGTTACATTCGATTATTTCCTGTTCGGCGATTTGCACCGGAATTGGCCTCTTCTTGGTAAGCGCTCGCTGTTGCGTTACAAAATAGCATGCTGTATACAATAGAATACAAAGGAAACCGATTATTGGCCGATTCTGTTGGCAGCTCTCAGAACAAAAACGGAGTGTTATTTAATATAATGATAAATAGAGTTAATTAAATTAAAACTTTTTATGTATATAGTTATAAGTGTAATAGATCACACTTTCCAACGTGTCATAATTAAATCGATGCGATAAATCATAAATAAATATAAATAATCATGAATATTATGATACTACAAATTAATTATTTATATTATTATATTCGCTAGCTAGTGCAGTAACTCTTACCATATAATTGTAATTGTTCTAAAACGTATTACAATATACACGCATAATGTTTATATAATACTATATGATGCTATGTATACATATATAGTATTAATATATCGCTTATTTACTATTATACGACATAACTAAAAAATTATCACTTTTGAATTACTTGCAGAAGAAAAACGGGAAAATAAAGAAAAAACATACTTTAAATTACATACTTTTATTTTTCTGTAATTAATTACAGAAAAATAAAAGTATGTAATTTAAAGTATGTTTCTTCTTTATTTTCCCGTTACATCAAAATTACATTTTATAATTAATATTATAAAAATTTATATTTTATTAATAATTCAAAGTATTCAAACCTTTTTCTTTGGAAAACTTTATTTTTTGAATTGTGTTGTTATTGTAGCAAATGAGCGATATATATAAATATTGTTTATTAATTACATATATTCTTAATTAATATTATACATGTATTATATTATATTTATGTTACACTATATGTACAATATGTTAGGTTGTATACACGTACATTATTAAAATGTTATTTTAAACTACATGATATCAGAAGATCATGTATGATGTCACATCGTCCGATTACAGAACCTGGAGGACCGCGAGCGTAAGCATACCATACACAAGGAGCAGCTGTCGCGTGAGCACAGGTTCTTGAGACGGCGACTCGAACAGCTGACGAACCAGACCGGCCTCCATGGCCTTCATGCGCTTCATGGCCTCCACGGGCTCAGTACGAGCGCGCCGACCGGCTCCGTCGCCGCCGCCGCCTCCGCAGCGATGCTGTCCAAGCGGCGTAGTATCTCTGAGTGCTCTCTGGGCACGGCATCCACCAGCTCGACCGGAAGCTCCAGTAACTCGGACAGGTCTGCAGGTAGCCCATCTATCTCGGAGTCCGGTGAGTACAGCAATGAGATTATCATTAAATATGTTAAATTGAAGGTGCTTTTCTTCCGATGGAACGTCTTTATATCTCCTCGCAGTCTTTCTTTCTGCCTTACTCTCCCAGTAGTCTCTTCTACATCGCCTGGATGCAAAAATATTGGGTTCGTGTTTTATTAAATTTTTAACAAAAGAATTCTCGTATTCTATCAAACTAATTGAATTAGTTCAGAACTATGAATTTACTTTAATAATAATGCCATAAAGTCAGAATACAGAACGTATATATATTTTCCGTGGAAATAAAAATACGTATATATTTTATTAATATATTTTAATTAAATAATATATAAATAATGAAATTATTTGAAATTCTTATACGTTATTTTTGATTGTTAAAAGACTTCTTTTTTTACAAAAAACATTTTTTGAAAATGAAAAATTTAGAATACGACATTTTGTACGTAATAATCTAATAATTATAACTTTTAACAGTAATTGCAATCGAGAATAGCGATTAGCAAATTTATGTCTTTCCCTATAAAACTCTTCATGTAGTTTACCACGTTTCTAATGCAAAAGGATTCAGAAGATTTGCGCCAGCAACTCTATCTTCTTTCCTAACTAGCTTGAGTCCGTCGATTAAATCTTAATCGTCACGATTCGGAATTAAGATGGAAAGCAGCACGATAGAGTAGCCACGCGGGTGGCTACTCTATCTATGTCGTAAAGTCGAACGGATGAATCTATTTAATTTCTCGAAGCGTCATTGTTTAAGCACGGTACAACATGCACAAACAAACAAACACGTATATGAATCTACACAAAGATACAATAGTTGTATAATTATATTCTATCTGTGTAAAGTTGATCCCACTTTTTCAAAATTTAAAAAAACAAATATTGTAAAGTATACATTTGTACTTGTATGTTTCCGAGCTTTTCTCAGCTTAATTTTTATAGTTTTCTCTTATTTCTACAAATCAAACAGTAGATAGAAAGATAATATATAGGGTCGATATATACAGGGTCGGGCATTTTAATCGCCCCCAAGCGAATATCTCAGAAACTAAGAGAGATACAAGAAAAAGTTTTATATGAAAGTTGTAGGTTTTCTTGGGGTAAAGAAGGTGGAAATAACGGATTTTGGATAGGGGGCAGCATTACCAAGGTCAGGTCAAGGTCAACTCGAAAAGTACTTCATGAAAAATATTTTATTTTTGGAAAGCTCTCGAGGTATGCTACAAGAATATGCAATAAAAATGGGGGTTCCATTTAAAAAATTCATGTTGACCTTGACCTGACCTTGGTAGTGCCCTCTATCCAAAATCCGTTATTTCCACCTTCTTTCCCCCAAGAAAACCTACAACTTTCATATAAAACTTTTTCTTGTATCTCTCTTAGTTTCTGAGATATTCGCCTGGGGCGATTAAAATGTTCCACCCAATGTAATTTTTTGTTATCTAACAATTTGGGATTATATCGTACTTATTTGGATAAAGTTTTCAAAATTTAGATTTTGTCGTTGGAACACCACTACGACGACGTATATCGCAAAAATGCATTCGCCACCGCATGAAATATTGCAGCTTGCAGGGGTGGATGAGTTTTCCAAAGCAGTTCTTGGAGTAAAAAAAAAGAGGTCGAGTTAGCGGAAGGCGAAGAAAATCGGAAAACGCGCGTCGGGAGTGTACGCGCGGGAGTGGGACGTTGAAATTGATGATCCCGCGGGAATATCTCCGGTGAAGCACTTATCATAAGTCACGTGTGCCACATCGGCTATTTTTCGAAAGCCACCTCGAATTTGCCGCGGTTTCTGCATCGGAATAGCGGAATTTATCATAACTTTTTTTATTTCTATCGCTAATTATCTTAAATATTAAATACACGAAAAACTATTAATTCGATCAAAAAATACGTTTTATAGTACTTTCTCAAAATTAATTATATATACATTTTGTATATATCTATATATGTATATATATGTGTGCGTGCTTTTCTGTTATATTAATAATGTTCTCGATATGGAATCGTGCATTTAGATATATGTAACACTATGATTGCGTAGTAATCATGTCTCCATTACGAGATATGTTCACTCTAGTGCGAATCCGGCTTTACATTTATGGACTCAAATAGAATGTGTGTTTTGCGTTGTAGCAATCTGGGGATAAGGCACTCTCTTCCACATAAACACATACATATATATATATATATATAAAATTTTGTGTGTGTGTGTGTGTGTGTGTGTGTGTGTGAGCGCGCGCGGAATTATTTCAGGACGATTTCCTCAGGCACCTTAATGTCGTGAGATTGTTGCGCTTAGCTAAATTACCAAATGTGATAAGATCCCTCTTTAAGATTTGCTATCCCTGCCATTAGTAACGGATCCTTGCACGACGTTATGGCTAAATGTTGTAGTTGGGTATTAGTCATACAAGACATATTGAAAACTTAATATTTGATCTTCTCCAAAATTTGGATTTATGATGGATTATATATTTATTATCTGCAATCATTAAATGTATTATAAGCACTAAGTATATGAAAATAATGATCGGTTAAAGCGGGAACAAGAGAAGTGTTGAAAGATATAGAATTGAGAGAAAATAAATAAGAGAGAGAATTGTGATACAGCGGAATTCAACATGAAACAGAGACTGGGTATTTCTAAACAAAGAACAAGAAGTGGGAAAGGAAAGAGAGACTCTTTGACAAGTTAAATACGCAGACATATCTGATGTTCCCGTAAAATAATCATGTCTAACATGTACAGACTCTCTTCAGTCCGAAGTAATCCCTTTAGACAAATCCTTCCGTACTTGTCTCATAATTTCTCTCAAATAAAATATAAGCAAATATAATCTATTATTTACATACTGTTTTCTTATAGTTCGTAGCTATTTTCTTCAACACATTTATTATTAAAATAAAAGCAAATATAAAATGCAGTATGACGCATTGCAGATTGCAAATAACATTAACAAATATACATGTAGCTAATCAATCGAGCTCTCTTTAACAAATTAAAAATAATGTAGTAATATTTTAATTGTTGATAGTTAAGTTAATCATTGATGATGCATTAATGTCGTGTTCTTATTGTGCATTTAATCTAAAAATACTTAATTTTGGATCTAGGAACAATTGAGATAATATTCTTGTAATATGTTTAAATTCACTTTTACGATTATTATTTTTCGTAGTTAACGATTATTAATCTAAATAATAATGAACTGATAATATCGTTGAATAATTGTGCTCAAAATAAGAATTTTTTGATATGTAACAAGAGTGATAATAGAGTTTTATTTGATATTTTAAACGAGAGAAAGAAGAAAAATGGATTGTAGAAATCCTGTGAGAGAAAAGACGAAAGTGAAACGAAATTTTCTAAAAAATTTTGATTAGTTTGGTGAATATAAGTTAGAAAAATAACGAAAGAAAACAATTCATCTGAACGAATCATTTATTTATGTTATGAACAATTGCATTCGTTCGCACTTTCATTCGACATTTTTAAATTTAAAATAGCAAGAGAGAAGGAGGGACGAGAATGATAAAATTATAAACTATTTTAATCAATTTTTGGGAAATATGTTGTATTATAATAATGAAAAAAATAATCCACCTGAATAAATTATTATTTTTTTTGAATGATTTTTTTAGAGAATGTGACCCGTCCAATATATTTAAATTTACAATGACGATGAGAGAAGAAAGGACGGGAATGTAAAATTATAAAATTATTTTAATCAATTTGAGAAATGTATTAGGAAAATAATGAAGGAAAGTAATTCATCTCTCTTTGAAGGTAACTTTCTCTGAACCAATGATTTTCTGAATGACTCGCCGTCATATGTGAATTTATAATTGCGGAAAGAGAAGGAGGAACAAAAATATAAAATAATAAAAGTATCAAATTTTTTGTCAATTACGCATATTCATAGTTGATCGCCCCAAATGTAAAAAAATCGAGACTGCGAAATTTTCTCGGATTTGAAATACTTTTTAAAAGTTTTCATATAACTTCGTGCTGCGCGTAGGTGATTGTATATCTCTCACGCACATCACGTGACTAAAGAAATACTGACCGGTATGACTATACTACGCGCGCGACGTTACTTACGAAACTAGGCTGGGATACGATCGAGACGTAATCGGGACCGTGACGACATGTATAAATAGACTATATAGAGATAATCCGTCCACCGAGCAAAGCCGGAAGTTGGCGATTTAGAACTGAGAGAGATGCAGTTTGCGAAGGTTTATCTGTCCCGTTCTATCTTTTACTGCAAAACGTCATGTCGATGCTGAAAATGATTCAAAATTAATAGAGGCTTAAATACCAATCCACTTAATTTGGAATTGATAATTGTAGTGTCTAATATTGAGTTCCACTTGAAATATCTGCATCTTCGTGAAACTTCGTTCAAACGGACTAAGAGTTAATTATCGTGGTCGTGACGAATATTATTGTTATTTGCCGTCAACTGCCACCTACCCCTTCCCCCGCTTTTCTTCTTTTCCATTTGTTTCTGATAAACGCGCGGACACGCAACAGGGTTGCACCGTACTGTTTGTTGTTGCCGTGTGATAACGAGAAATGATTAACTAGGAGGAAAACGTGATGCGCGACTTATTTTTGTTCGCTTCACTCGGAATATTGAAATTTATCCCCGTACCAGGGAGAAATAGTCGAATGCATCGAATGTCTCGTGTGTTTTTTATGTCCCACGCCGTGAAACGAGAAGGAAAGGGAGAGGAGGTGACGAATTCGGTGATACCAGGGGTGCGCATAACGCTTATAATTTTAATGAACTCTTGCTCGCCACTCGTGCCACCCTTAAAACCGCCGTTCAAATCAGTGCTTCTCAAATCGCGCCACTCTGTGTTCACCACCCACTTCCAACAATCAATATCCACGATCAATTATCTAGAATAACAATTTTTCCTGGTATACATTGTATACCTTACCTTATTTCACATCTAAATCTTAAATTTGATGTCAAATTTGAAATTTTATTGTATTTTTAATAGATAAAAAAAATTTATTTGATATTTTATACTCTAATCTGGACGTGATTTTATTTGTTTGTCACTCTGTTTGCGGTCTGTATACTTTCCACTTGTGTTTTGAGCGCCACTGTCACCTGGACAGGTTAGCGATGTCGAGGACACAAAAGGTAGAGCGGAGTGAGAAAGAGGGAGAGGCGGGTGGTGACGAGGGCAGATCTGGTTCGCTTAGTGTGACGAGAATAGAGGCATGTTATTGATTATGGAAAAATACCCCCGGCTCAGAGCGCCGCGGGTAGTGAGGGGGAGGGTAGCTAGCAAGTGTGGTCGACACCCCCTCGTCTTTTCGAGCCGTGCCTTCTAGCGGGTGTCATGGCTACTGTATACCCTGCAGTCTCTCTATCATGTTCCTTCTTTACCCTCTCTTCTCTTTACTCCTTCCTTCACCCGTTGTTGCCCATCATCTCTTCGCCGACGGTATGACGTCATAGTAAGCGTCCTTGCCGGCACTCGTCTCTCGCGAGTATTGGCCAGACGGTGCGTTTAGTTGATGCGTCGGTGCATCTTCTTGCGTCAAGGGAGCGCTTTCGATCTGAGGAGAATGATACTATTTAAAACGATACTATTTAAAATACTATATATACTTATGACTCACTTGTATGAGTTTTTAGCATGCCACTGAAAAAATTGTCATGTTACTAATGGTGAATTCGATCACTCGCACTACACTGGATCAGTGCATATTAAATGCATATTAAATGCATATTAATTGCTTTACATAAAACATCTCAATGTAGTGATACAATATAATCAACTTTGACAATGAAATGATACATATATATATATATATACATTTTATGTATATATTTTGTACATATTTATATATGTATATGGTATATTTTGTTAAACAACGTGACAATATCATTAGTAGATAGTTAATCGTTTGAAATATATATATATTATTACTTTTACATTTAACTTTATTAATTTCATGTAAAGCAGTTTTTAGTATGCACTTATCTAGTGTAGTGCAAGTAACCGAATTCGCTATAAGTTTACAACCAATAGAACAATAGCAAATTCGATTGGACACACTCAGTGCGCACTGGTGCATATCGAAACCGCCGTGCACAAATTGAAGTAAAGATGTGTGTTTAATATAAATATGAAAACAGGTTAAATCCTCAATACATTTTATTGTACTATTAAGTAAAATATATATTTTATAATTCGAAATATTTGCATTTCGGTTTTGCACTTAAATTAATCAGTGTATGACGACTTTAATATGCACCAGTGTGTACTAATGCGTTCAACCGAATTCGTTGTAAATTTAGCTTAGACTGGCCGGCTTATGCTTCTAATCGATTGCATTTTCTTTGAGTCTTCTCGGAGTCTTTAGATACTTCTTTGAGTAAATTAGCATGGAATTAAAAAATCCGATTAATTGCTTGAAAACGAGGCGACTTTGACGTGTGTGTGAAGCTAACGTCTCACTTGGTGAAAACTCATTAAATATTGAGAGTTCTGAGTTTATTTTCAATAGTTCTATAGTTCTATACAGGATAAATAAATAGTTCCGGCCATTAAAGCCGAGAAACCCAAAATTCAAAATGAGACGCCAGGTTCACACAGGGTCAACTTCGTCTAAAAAAGTTTTCAGCTACAGTTTCTTATAGGATTTGAAAAGATACATAGTTCTACAAAGAGTTCTGACACCTAACATTGTTATTTTGATTTTTAAACAATTTTTTTCCCTAAAAAATAGCCTTTAGAAGGAACGAAGATGAGACGCTGTCTGATTTCAAAGAATTCTGTTAGTTTTATGGTAATAGTTTCGTATAGTTCTGAATGTATCCTAACGTTTTCCGAAGAGTTCCGGTGATATAAATAATTTGTTAATTTTTTAAACAATTTTTATCACCCGAGAAAGGCGCCTTTCAGGGTATATGTGTGAGACGCTGGCCGATTTCCGACAGTTCTGTGAGATATATGGTACTTATCTATTTTTTAGGGAAAAAAATTGTTTAAAAATCAAAATAACAATGTTAGGTGTCAGAACTCTTTGTAGAACTATGTATCTTTTCAAATCCTATAAGAAACTGTAGCTGGAAACTTTTTTAGACCAAGTTGACCCTGTTTGAAGACCTGGCGTCTCATTTTGAATTTTGGGTTTCTCGGCTTTAATGGCCGGAACTATTTATTTATCCTATATAGAACTATAGAACTATTGAAAATAAACTCAGAACTCTCAATATTTAATAAGTTTCCACCAAGTGAGACGCTAGCTTCACACATACGACTTTGACAGATTTATGAACGGATGCCAAATACGGTAGAAACGCTTAGAATTTAACTGAAAAGGCGGAGAGAAGATAGGACTTCTTCAGAGGAAGACGATCTTCTTGCTGCTATTAATTAATCTCTCGTGATAAATGTTAAGCTGGCTGCCATCTTGAAAGATGCTAGACGCGCAACCAGCTGCGCGCCATAATAGTAGTGGATGCCGATGCATAAATTTCCACTAATTTTTCGTGGCAGTTCTCGTCTATTGCGTATTAATCATTATAAGCAAAGAAAAAATTAATCTCTCTTGGAGCTAAAATCGATTTTCGATTTTGATGGTACATGTGACTTCTTTGTTTTTGTTCGTTGCATTAGATGCGTAAATAAAAGATTACTTTGTCTTCAATCTCTCTTCCAGATTATAATAATGCGGAATCCATTCTTTATGTTGCAGATGAAGTGGACGTGATTGGTTACACGAGCAATCAATCGGACACCGATGATCATAGTAGCGTACAGAGTAGTAGCGACAGCGGTGTCGCGATGTCCACATCCAGACTGACTCTTTCCGAGATGATGGACAATCTTTAGGTACGTATACAGATCAATCAGTTTGCAGTGAGTTCGGTTGCTTGCATTCTGTGCTGGTGCATGTTTTTAGAGTGCATCAGTGCAGAATGGTGTAGACAATCAAATTCGCTATTTGAAATAAAAGCGCAGGGAAATTTTGTTTGAGGGAGATCACATTAATTAAAATGAATAAGTCGAGTGTCCGAATTAAAATAAATTTTGCTTATAAACTTAATTGCATAAAAACAGAGAGTTAGCTATAGTTGATCGCGTTCTATGATAAATAAAACACCGTGTGCTAAATACGTGGGGGGAAATCCGTTACGAGTGTAACGGACATAAATCACCAAAGGGATAAAAAGCGGAAGATAGGATGACAAAAGTCGAGGAGGAAGACAAGGGTGGTGCGAATGTTGGGCAAATAAATTCTCACATTGCTTCCTCTGCGCTATTTGCAGACAAAGAGGCGGTGCGATGCGATGGCGGCGAAAGAAGAAACGATTGAAGAAGGAAAAAGGATAGGGAATAGGAGATAGAGCGAAAGGAAGAAGATCCATCTGGGCGTACGAAAATTGACGGCGTGTGAAATATCGACTCATACACACATTACATATATACACATAAAATGCACATTTAAATTCGTACTCAATGCAACTTTGTCCTTCCAAAATGGCCTGACTGGCAAAGCAACGTTAAAGAAGAAGAAGAAGAAGTCTTTTAGATATATATCACTCGACTTTGCGAAGATTTTCAAACAACGGAATAGATTTAAAAAATCAGATATGAAAAGGATACGAAGTACTTGGATTACCAAGGCTCAAAAAACATCAATCGTGACGCAAGAAGAAGAAAATGGAAGAAACGAAGTTATCTTTGATACCATCTAGCCTATTACAAAGAAGAGAAGAAGTCTTCAATACTTTCGTTAAATATTGCGGAGAAGAGATAAATGACCTGAAGAAAGAAGAGACTAACGAAGAACTAAAGACAGAAGAAACGGTCCACTCTAAGTTTATTATATAAAAACGAAGAACAGCTTGGGAATGGGCTAAAACAAGAGGATGTATAAAATATAAATATTATCAGCTAAGAAGAACAACATTTGGAAATATTGATCGGAGAAATCAATAAGAAAATAAACCAGTCGCTTTCAAAAAGCTGTAAATGCAAATAGGAAGATTTTACATTTTCCGAAATTGCAGTAAAGTCTGGTGTATTATGCATTCAAAAGAAAATAAAAGAAAAACAATCAGAAGGAAGAAAGATGAGAGGAACGAAATAAAAGAAAAAAGTCAATCTAGACAAGAAGGCAAATAATTTGGGATAAGGGTAGAGAGTTAAGAAGAATTGATAAGGTAAGAAGAGAAAAAATTTGACGAACAAAAAACCAGCCACTTTTCAGAAAGTTGATGTCGATGAAAAAGGAATGGAAGCATGGAAAATAAGAAAAAAAGTGAACAGAAAGGAAATGGAAAGAAAAAGAAGGTAACATGAACAACTAGAAGAGTGTGAAAAAGAAGATTATTGTAAATTATCGAGAATTGACGAAATCATAGCAGCATTGTATATATTTTTAAGAACGTACAGATTTATTAAGACAGTGTGGACGTGCAAGAGGAAAGAGCAAAAGGGGGGAGAGAGAGAGAGAGAGAGAGAGAGAAAGAAAGAGAGAAGCAAAAGCTAAATGAAAAATGGAAGTTATGGTAATGTTAAACAGAAATTATGATGAAATTCTTCGTTCCGTTACACATTTAATCCTAAATTCTTGAAACAAATAAAATGAGACAGTAATTGACCATTTTGAGAATCGACTATTGAAATACGCGCCTTTTTGGTTTAGCTTTACACATTAACTGATAAAACTATAAAATTATTCTTAGAAATTTGTTTAAAAAAATTTGATTTATTAATTGGTTTTATTGTTTTAATACACAAATTTATTCATAAATAATTCCCAATTTTTCAATCAATTTCATTAAGTAAAATTTAAAATAAATTTTAATCTTTTCAGAAAAGATTGAATAGAGAAATAGGATAAAATAGAATTTAAAGATAAAAGTTTATTTTTAGACATTAATAATATTTTTAAAAATTGAATTAGTGTAAAATCATTTTGTGAAGTGAATTTCTAAGACAAATTTATAGTTTCATCAAAAATACTAAGAAAAATTTATCTTATAAAGATTATAAAATTATAAAATTAGTCAATCAAGAAATTCGGAAGTATTTATCCGGAGCAATCCGCCTAGTTTAAAATGATGAAATTATTAAAGTAATTTGTAATATATAAAATAAATTATAATAAAAATATTTTATAAATTTATTCATAAAATTATTTATTTAATTCGAAACTTAAAGATTATATGCAATATTTGGAATTTAACTATAATCTGTTAAGATTATAAAATATATGAAATTATTTTTATAGTATAAAATTATGTATAAAAATTAGAATTACTTAAAAAGATTATATAAATTATTTCGATAACATATATAAAATCATTTCCGATCGTAAATTATTTTCATCAAATATTATTTACATAATTATACAAACAGTGAACAAACATAAACTTATAAAATAAACTTACTAAATAAACAAACCCCGCGCCGTCATTATATTTGCAAAAGAAATTAAATTTTCATAAAACTCATTACCGCGTAACATAAAGAAATATGAGAAGGAAAAATGTTTAGAGAATAAAAAAGACGGACAAAGATAGACAAATGGCTAATTTCTTGATGAATAATGAATTGCGATTAATTAATAGATAACAATGCAAATTCACACAGAACACAAAAGAACAGATATATACACACACACATATAGTTAAGTAATTATTATTCTAATTAAGCGAGCAAGCAAAAAGCAAGCATAAAAAACAAAGTATAAAAAGCAAAAAAAAGTAAACTGATAATTATATTATGGCGTAAGTAACGTTTCATTATAAACACACACACACACACACACACACACACACACACACACACACACACACACACACACACACAAATATATAGAGTGTCCCATATTTATGTATGTAGAAATAAACAAAAAGTTTTAAGTGACTTCTCTCCAGAAAACTTGTTAAAAACAACAAATTTGTTACACAATAAACTAAAAAATAAACATTGAAGAAATGCAAATTGTGAATATGCGATAAAAGTCAAGAAGGAGAAATTTTAAAATATAAAAGGCTTTTCTAAAAAGTCACTTGTTATAAAAGAAATAATAGCTGAATGTGCAATAGAATAGTTAAAAAGAAGAATTGAAGAAATAGCGGACACTCTAATACATTACACACACATTCGAAGAGTACAAATTCCACAAATCCCTCATTGGGTGTTCTCGGGGCTGTTATCATCTTTTTATGTGACGCGTTTTTCTTTTCATGATCTTGGACTATTCCTAGATCATTCGTGAATGATCTACGAAGCGAACAATTAGATTGTGAATTGAAACCGATACAATTTCGCCGAGTTCGCATTTTGATGTTGAAATAATTCTGTGAAATGTGAAATTGTATTGTGCATTTTCTTAGTTTTGGCAAGATATTTTTGAAAATAATTTATCTTTTTTTTATGTTAAAAAATGTTACTTAAGATATGATAAAAAAATGTAAATTGTTGGAAAATGTTATACTATTTCAATTTAAATATAATATATACAAATATCATGAGAGAGATTGAGCTTATCGAAATTATACCGGTTTCAATTTCTAATTCAAAACTGTATAAAAAATCAGAAACGTTCTTGATTTAAAGGACAAAAACGAATAGGTCCTTTTGTAAAATTGGCATTAAGCGATAATTTACTGAATAGACTGATTACCAAATATAAACAGATGATCTCTGAAGACCGACGCTAATTTGTAAGTTGAAGATAAACGTTTTTGAGCATATTGTGGAAAGTGATCCGTTGCAAAATATGTGCTGTCGGTTAACCCTTTAACTTTTACTCCTACATAAAGTACGCAAAATAACCGGAAACTATATGAAATGCAAAGGCAATTTATAGAAAGTTTAAATGGAATGTCTCTTTTTATCTCATTACTTGTTAATAAATTATTTTATCAAACTAATAATAAGAAAACTTAATTGCTTCAACTTTTAATAATTGTTTTTAGATTAGAGATAATCAATATTGACAAAACATACCAAAATTTCTGCAATACCAAAAGAAGAAAAAATATTTCAAATAGACGTTTAGTTTTATCAAATATGATAAAATTATGATCCGTGTGAGATACCTACTTTGTGATTTTGTGAAAGAATATAAAAATCGATACCAGATTCTTTTTATATGTACAGAAAAAAAGCGTATATATTCTTTATATTTTGATTTTATTTGTATTATTTTCTTCTTTAGTCATTTTTTTGATTTATTATTTTTTATACGTTTCTATATGTTTCTTTTTCATTTTATTTAGTTTACTATGAACATTTATTGCTATGTCATATCATTGACACAGTATTATATTATTAATATAATATAGTAAAATTGATCGACTAAAATTCTAGTGATATTTAGTATTAAACACTGAGATCTTCGATAAAACAGTTGAAATCTGGAAACTTTATTAATGTAAAATTAAAGAAATATGAAAATTATTTAGAAAATTAAGAGATTCTTTTATTAGACTTAAATGTTAAAAAAAATTTTTAAATACTGTAAAAATGATTTAATTTTTCTATTTATATTTCTTTATTCTATATAGTATTATGTAATAAATAAATAGATCTTAAAACATTAATTAAAAATAATTGCACACATTCTAAAGTTATATAAAATTCAAATATCTTAAAATCAAAGATTAAAAATCGATATTTAATTGGATATTATGGAATTCAAGAATTTAAAAAAAAAGATTGAAAATCTCAAATATAATAATATAAGCTACGACAGTTTTTATCATTTAATATTAGGTACTTTTTAGCATCGTATTTAAATAATTTTAATACTAATCTTTAATTTTTATTTACATATTTTTGAAATTTTGAAACTGAGCATAAATATTAAGCATTAAATTGAACAATAAACTCCATGAAATATTAACAAATAAAATCGATTTAATTTAAAATATTAACAAAGATTGCAAACAAAATATTACAAAAAGATTTAATTTGTTTCACTTTTTTAAGTTGAATATAAGTTAAAGGGTTAACTGTTGGGGATAGTAGTTGGATTAATAGATTAAGAACGTAATACACAAGAAATACACAAATGCACCTCAACAAAAAAGAAAACAAAACAGCAGCCAATGAGAGAAAGATAGATGTCAGAAAATGAAATTGTGAAGATTTACAAGGTCAAATCCCGCCGGAAAAACGACCAAGCCGAGTGAAATATTTTCAGCGAGGCACACCGCGATTTTTAATATTAAATCGAATATTGATTGTTGTATCAACAATCGCCTATAGCTATATTGCAATCATATTGGTTGTTGCACGAATCTATTGCGGTGAATACATCACAATTATGAATGGCGGGCTTTGATCGCGGTAAATGTGCATGATCCTGCGTCTATCTTTCGGCATAAATTCGTAATTTTAATTTTAATTTTTTTTTAGATTGTAAACATAACTTTATATCGAAATTATTTTATGTAATATTTATTTTAACATGATTTGAAACATTTTCTTTAACATTTAATTTTATGTGTTATGTGTTACTAAATCTAATTCCCCTAGTTAATAGAAAGATTTATGTATATTAATCATTGTATTTATCTATGGAATAATTAATTTATATTATTGATTTAAATTTTTTACTTTGCTTAAAAAACAAATAGCATTGGCTGTTGTATATATTATCACTGATTATCAATTAATACACAGAAATAACTCGAAATAGAAGTGACACCGTTGATCTTCGTACGCGCCAGATAACAATAAATCTTTGAATAAAATGAAAAAAATGCGCGCAGAACAAACGAGGGAACCACTAAGAACCAATAAAAAAGAACTGCAAGAAAACAAAAAAGAAAAAGAAATAAACAAATAAGCACAAAAGCGAGACCTCTGCGTAGAGATCTAAATGAGCAAACTTTATCAATTAATTATAACTACGAAATTTTTTAAAGAATCTTCCATTTTTTAAATGCACAATCAATATATGGATCGATTTTATTTTAACCCTTTTAATGGCCAATGGAAAAAGAATTTTATTGAAAACAAAGGGAATTAATAATAATAAATAATCCTTCTTTATAAATTTTGGACATTAAATCATTAGTTACTTTATTATTAAAATCGTTAAAATAAAATTAAACTATTTCTTTATTATTAATGAAATAATGTTTTATGAATTTAATGAATCTTTTCAATATTTAATGTTTTTTTCAAATATATTTCACGATTTTCAAACATACTTAATCCGTTTGAACGATTCTGATATTAATCCAGAATTTATACTATAATAGGAACAATCACAACTTTATACTGGAACTTGTACAGTATAATCATATGGCCTTTTGGGTTAAAAGAATCAAATTGCATTTATATGGTTTTGTGAGAAGACTCTCAAACGAGAAACAAATATTGTAAGTGTTGTCCGATGAAAAGAGGAGTACGTACATTTATAAGGAACTTTTTCATAATATGCAAGAGTTGTAAAAAAAAAAAAAAACAAATGAATCCTTAAATGGAACATATTGGCTTTCGTGGAATTTCTCAAA